AGACTTTAGTGTCCCGCCCGCCCGACCCGACCCGCCCGTTAGGGTCCGCCCGCCCGACCCGCCCGATAGGGTCCGCCCGTCCCGCCTGGGCCGTTAGGGTTCTCATGCGTCATGCCGTATATGTATCAGACTTTAGTGTCCCGCCCGCCTGTCCCCAGCCGCCCGTTAGGGTCCGCCCGCCCGACCCGCCTGCTAGGGTCTGCCCCGTCCCGCTCCGCCCGTGAGAGTTCTTATATGTCATGCAGTATACGCATCCGACTTTAGTGTCCCACCCGCCCGACCCGACCCGCCCGTTAGGGCCCGCCCGCCCGACCCGCCCGATAGGGTCCGCCCGTCCCGCCCGTCCCGCCCCGCCCGTTAGGGTTCTCATGTGTCTTGCTGTATGCGCATCAGCCTTTAGTGTCCCGCCCGCCCGACCCGACCCGCCCGTTAGGGTCCGCCCGCCCGACCCGCCCGATAGGGTCCGCCCGTCCCGTTCCGGCCGTTAGGGTTCTCATGTGTCATGCTGTATACGCATCCGACTTTAGTGTCCCGCCCGCCCGACCCGACCCGCTGTACGTATGTTCCTGCCCGCTCAGCAGAAGCCTGGAATGCCGCTGTACGGCACCACTGCCCGTGGTGTTGCATCACTGCCCCTCCTCCCCCTTCCCCTCCTCCTCCTCCTCCTCCTCCTCCTCCTCCTCCTCCTCCTCCTCATCATCATCATCCCCTTCCTCCTACTCCTCGTCCTCCTCTTCCGCCTCCTCCTCCTCCTCCTCCTCCTCCTCCTCCTCCTCCGCCTCCTCTCATTCTCGTGTGCTCGGATGGGTGTTGTTACAACCCACGGTGGCGCCCCCGCGCCTCGACTCGCGGGCGCCCCTCGTGAGCCGTGGGGGGCCCGTGCGCGGGGGGCGGGCGCCCCGAGCCTTCTCGCCACGCTCGGGGAGGCAGCTGCCGTCGGGGGGCAACGAAAGACAATTCCTGGGTATTCGTGGATTCTCCTGGATCGTCTCCAAAGTTTTTTTACTATTCCTGGATATCCCCCCTGTAGAGGGACAGGCCCGACTGAACTCTAGCGCCCTCTGGGCACTCCTGACCGCCCACGGTCGGGGGGAACGAAAGGGGGGGATAGCAAAGGATAGGATAGAGAATCAGCTCACGCAGCTGATTTTCCTGCCTCCTCTTCGTCCTCGTTCTGTGCCTCCTTCTCCTCTGCCTCCTCCTCCTGCGTCCCCCCTCTTGCTCCTCCTCCTTCTCTTCCTTCTCGTCCTCTTTGTCGTCGTCCCTCTCCCTCCGCATCGGCCTCCAGCGTTCAGTCCCCCGCGTTCCTCCTCCTCTCCTCCTCCTCCTCCTCCTCCTCCCCCCTCCCGTCATCGTCAGCACTTTCACCGCATGCCCGACCATATCTCCTCACACCCCTCACACGGGTCGTAGCCCCATATGAAGCTCCACCGAAGGCTCCAGTGGCTGCGTCCGCATGGCACCTCCGTCCGCCCGGCCCGAGCGCGCAGGCGAAAGTAAAACGCCACAGGCCAAAACCCCAGGTCACGATTCCTTCTTTGGGCCCCAGAACGCCATAGGCAAAAACCCAGGTCACGATTCCTTTTTTGGGCTTCAGGAGCGCCACTGACGCGGAGGAGAGCAGGGGAGCACTTCCTCTACACGCGCGCGCTCTCGGCAAGACCGGGAGGCCCGACGCGCAAGGCAAAAAAAAAGCGCCACAGGCAAAAACCCAGGTCGCGATTCCTTCTTTGGGCCCCAGGAGCGCCACAGGCAAAAACCCTGGTCGCGATTCCTTATGTGAGCCAGGCCGAGGGAAGCGGAGGAGCACCCCCCCGCCCGGCGCGCGCGCCCCGGCCAGTGCCCCGGGGACCCGACGCGCAAGGCAAAAAAAAAAGCGCCACAGGCAAAAAAAACGTTTTTACCTGTAAAGCTTTGTTTTTGCCTTGCGCGTTGCAGCCGTTCCCAGGGGAGGTTGGTTTAACCTTGGCCTCTGGAACGGCCCTGCGTTTTCGAGCCTGGTGATTTCCACGTCGGCGGCACTCGTCCGTTCGAGCCTGGTCACGATCGAGTCCTGGCGCACTCTGATGCCGCTGCTTCGTAGGTCCGCGGATGCTTGCCTGCCCTACCGACGCGTTCTCGGCGGCGAGCTGTCCCCTCCTTTTTGGTCCCAGCCATCCTTTGCGGAGTTCCTGGAGTCGGCCTCGCTGGCCTTCCCGAGACCCATAGGGCGCGACCTTGTGACCTCGTCCCCTGCCTCGCGTGACCTCCTTTCCGCCTCCGCTGCTGCTGCGATTGCTGCGCTTCCCCCGCCCCCTCCCCCTCCTCCTCCTCCTCCTGAGCAAGGTCAGTCAGCCAACGCCCGAGGGTATGGAAGAAAGAGCTTGAGAATTCAAGGTGCCCTGGCCAAGGCTATGCTCGAGGTGCGATTCCCTGACCCTCTCGTCGACGTCTTTGTTGCTCGTCTTTCCTCGTGGCTCCCTTGCTCCGAGGCCGTTATCCGAGCATGGCCCTGGCCCCAGGTCCGCACCACTCTGAATCGTGCCCCGCCTGCGATCGCAGGCGCCGTCCTTAAGCTGCTGATCGGCGGCTGGACGACCGACGAACGCTTCCAGATCCGTTGCTCGTGTATCCTAGGGTGCGTGCCGAACGGCCTCGACCGTTGCGGCGACTGCATCCGCCACTACTGGTCCTGTCCCCGCTTTCTGCCCATTCTTGCTCTCGTGCTCCAGGTCCCTTCTCTCCCTGGCTGCCCTGTCCAGCGTCTTGGTCTTTCGAGCCCGTCTCTTGATTCCATCGCCATCCCTGCTGCTGCTACACTTCTCTATAATGCTCTGAATGCCGAGCGAGCCTCGCTCGAGTCGCTCTCTTCCCATAGAGAGCGCGCGCTGGCTGCCACTGTGCGGTTCCAGCTCCGACGGCGGTGATCGGAGTCAAGGACCGCGGCCGCCTCTCTGGGTACGTGCGAGGAGGAGGAGGAGGAGGAGGAGGAGGAGGAGGCGGAAGAGGAGGAGGAGGAGGAGGGGAGGATGAGCAGGAGGAGCAGGGTTGGATGGAGGAGGAGAGGAGAAGGGGAGGAGGAGGAGGAGGAGGAGGAGTAGGCGGAGGGGGAAGAAGGCGGCGGAGAGGGAGGGGAGGGGGAGAGGCAGGATAGTCAGAGGGAGGGGGAGGAGGGGGGAGGAGGAGGAGGAGGGAGAGGAGGGTGGGAGGAGAGGAGGAGGCGGAGGAGGAGCAGCAGCATGAGCAGGAGTTGGAGCAGGAGGAGGAGGAGGAGGAGGAGGAGGAGGAGGTGGCGGAGGAGGGGAGGAGGAGGAGGATGAGCGGAGCAGGAGCAGGAGTTGGGGATGAGGAGGAGGAGGATGAGGAGGAGGAGGAGGAGGAGCGAGGAGGCAGGAGAACAGAGGGAGGGGAGGAGGGGGGGGAGGGAGGAGGAGGAGGTGGAGGAGGAGGAGGAGGAGGAGGAGGAGGAGGAGGGAGGAGGAGGGAAGGAGGAGGAAGGAGGAGGAGGAGGAGGAGGAGGAGGAGTTGGAGGAGGAGGAGGAGGAGGAGGCAGGAGGAGGAGCAGGGCAGGAAGCAGGCAGCAGTGAGCCAGGAGCAGGAGGAGGAGGAGGAGGCGGTGGAGGAGCAGGAGTTGAGGAGGAGGAGGAGGAGGAGGAGGAGGAGGAGGAGGCGGAGGGGGAGGAGGCGGCGGAGGGGGAGGGGGTAGGGGGGAGAGGCAGGAAGAAGCAGAGGGAGGGGGAGGAGGGGGGTAGGAGGAGGAGGAGGAGGAGGAGGAGGAGGAGGAGGAGAGGAGAGGAGAAAGAAGAACCAGAAGGTATCCAGGATGCATGGAGCGATGCCCGCTTCATCCGCGTCCCTGCAAGCAGTTCTGTCCACTTCGGCCCCCCCCCCCCCCCCCCCTCCCCCCCCCCCACCCCCCCCCCCCCCCCCCCCCCCCCTTTCTGTGGCATTCGATCGAGAGCCCCGATGTGAATTGGAATGACCATCCATCCGTGTAGAAGCTGCACAGTTTTGTATGACCGAGCATGCGCGTAGCCATTAGAATGATCCGCCGTCCACCCACCGTGATTAGTACGCTTTTTTTCAAACAGTAGTTTAAACCATGTATGGCATGCCATGACTCTTCGAAGTCTTACGTGAACCGCCATCTTAGAAAGCAGCCGCCTTCTAGATGTGCAGCTACTGGTAACTGTTACGACGAATGCGCGCGGCGCTCAGGCGACAGCTACAGTTTGTAAACGGGCCACCCTCCATCGCTGTTCTACTGGGGAGGTTTAAGACGCATGTGCGCGGCGCTGAGGCGAGGGCCTCCGACGAAACCTGGCCCGCCCTACCGACACGTCTCGCGGTGTGACGAGGAAGAGTCAAGATATATTCAGGAGGAGGAGGAGAAGGAGGAGGATAATGAAGAGGATGAGGAGGAAAGGTGACTGAGGAGCGAGGAGGAGGGACGGGTTGGAGGAGGAGCAGGGACAGCGAGGTCGGAGGGATGATAAGGATAAGGAGGACTGAGGTAGGAGGTGGGAGGGAAGATAGGGAGGGGGAGGAGGAGATGGAACACCAGTGGTGGGCATGAGGAGTAGCAGGGGGCAGACATGGAGGTGGGACTATAAGGGAGAAAGGAGGAGGAGAGGAGGTGGGGAGGAGGAGGAGGGAGGTGGAGGAGGAGGAGGTGGAGGAGGAGGAGGAGGAGGAGGAGGAGGAGGAGGAGGAGAGGGAGGAGGAGGAGGAGGAGGAGGAGTGAGGAGGAGGAGGATGGAGGAGGAGGTCGAAACGGAGGTGGGGGGAGGAGGAGGTGGAGGAGGAGGTAGGAGGAGGAGGAGGTAGGAGGAGGAGGAAAGCGGAGGAGGAGGAGGAGGACGAGGAGGAGGAGGAGGAGGAGGAGGAGGAGGAGGAGGAGGAGGAGGAGGCAAGGCCAACGGCCGTTCGTGCCGCTTTCCCTGGGGTCCCCCCCTTCGCACACCGGACGGTGGGGCGGGGGGGCGGGGCGACCTGGCAGCCTCCGGAGGACCCTCGTGCCACCAGTAGCAGCAGCAGGAGGCGGGGAAGAGGAGGAGGCAGGCCGCCCGGCGGGGCCTCCACCCGACACCTGCCTCCGTGCCCCGGCCTTCCCCGCGGCCTCGTCGGCCTCGCCCGCCGCCGCCGCCGCTGCCGCGGCGGGCCCGCTCCTCGCCGCCGTCGCCGCCGTCCTCCCCGTCGGAGGTCGACGGACCTCCTGCCCGGACACGCCGATTGGCGAAATTGGCCGTCTTCGGTTCGCGAGAGCGCGTCGCGGCCGTTGCTTTTGCGGGTCCAGGTCCGTTGGTTTCGGTCCCAGGCCGCTTTCGCAAAAGGGAGGTCTACTAAAGGGAGGTTTGTCCACCGCCGATCCCTCGCGCCCGGAGCGCCTGCGGCCGCTCTTTCGAGGCGGTCGGCTACACGTGAGAGTGACCTTTCGCCAGAGTGACCCGTGGTGCGGGCCCACTGGGGTCCGCCGATCGCCGAACGCGACGAGGTGGTACCATCTTGCGCGCTTGCGTTTCGGCCCCCCGCGGCCCCCCAGAAGCCGCGCACCAAAGGTCACTCTTACCCAGGGTCACTCCTGCGCGTAGCCGGGGCCAGGATTTCTACACAACCACCGCCCAGAGGATACATGTTCGCGGACCTCTCCAGGCGGTGGGTATGGATATATTCTGGCCCCCCGGGGCCAACGTGGTTCCATACCCACCGTTCGCTGGGTCCCTCTGAATTCGGTTCCGGGGCGGTGCACGAGGCTAAGCCCTTGCCTCGCAGCTCTGGCTTCGGGGGGCGCGCCCGCGGGTGGCCGACGAGAGGGGGGAGGGTTGCAGAGAGAGAAGCCCTTCAGCTTGGCATCGCTCGGACATGTGCATTTTTTCGGCGAGAACCAACGAGGACCATCCTGGACCATCGAGCAAAAAAAAAAACACGCACGAAGCCGACAACATGCACGGGAGATGGACGTCCGAGCGACGGCCAAGTTTAGGGGCCCGCCAAGGGCACCCCTTCTCCCCTTCCCCCCCGTTCGCCGCCCCCCCCCAACGAAGCGACGCCCCACCGGCAATTGTAATTTTTTTTTTTTTTTCATGTTCCGTCTGCCCTCCTCTTTCCTCCTCCTCCTCGCACCCTGCCCTCCTCCTTTCCTCTCCTCCTCCTCCTCTTTCTCTCATCTTTACCGTTCGCCCTCGCCCTCTCCTTCATCTCTTCCTCCTCATCCTTTCCGTCCTCGCCCTCGCCTCCTCCGCCCCTCCTCTCCTCCTTCTCCTTCCTCCTCTCTTCCTCTCATCCTTTCTCGTTCCTCGCCTCGCCTCCTTCTACTCCTCCTCCTCCTCCTCCTCCTCCTCCTCCTCCTCCTCCTCCTCCTCGAGGATCCTCCTCCTCTTTCGGCGCGTGCAGGCTCGCGGCACGCTAGCCCCCCTCGTCCTGCCGCGCCGCCTCCGGCCTCCCTCGTCCTCCTCGTCCTCCTCGTCCTCTCCGTCCTCCTCGTCCTCCTCGTCCTCCTTGTCCTCCTCGTCGTCCTCGTCCTCCTCCTCCTCCTCGTGCTCGCTCCCCGTCGGGGCAGGGGGGGGGGCGCCTCCGCGTCCCCTTCGGGGGAGCGGCAGGCAGGGAGCACGGCACCGCGACGCCCTGCGTGCGGGAGCGGGGGTCGGAGCGGGTTCGGCCCCGGCCCGAAAGCTTGCGCTGTGTTCGGCCCAGGGCCTCACGGATGTCCGTCCGATGCCGTGTTGCTTTGGTTCATGTGCGGCATCAGCCATGAGCGGCGTTGCGCTGGTATTTTGTGTGTTTTGTTGTTGTTGTTGTTGTTGTTGTTGTTGTTGTTGTTGTTGGTGTTCTTGTTGTTGTTGTTGGTGGTGTTGTTGTTGTTGTTGTTGTTGTTGTTGTTGTTGTTGTTGTTGTTGTTGTTGTTGTTGGTGTTCTTGTTGATCTTGTTGTTGTTGCTGTTGTTGTTGTTGTTGTTGTGTTTTTTGTTCTCTCTCTCTCTATATATATATATATATATTTCTCTCTCCTTCTCCCTCTCTCTCTTTCTCTCTTTGATTTCGTCTCCCTCTATTCTCTTTCTTTCCCTCTATCTCTCTCTCTCTCTCTCGCTCTGTGTTTCTCTTTCCCAGTTTCCCTCTTAGGCCATGGTTCACTGTACGGGTTTCTCTCTCGCAGGTCGGTTTCGGTGGCGTTTCCAGTTCGCCTAGCGGCTTAGCGACGGTTTGATTCGCACCATGTTTAATTTCGAGTTGTCTGGAGAGTAAGTCTTAAGTTTACGCGACATCTCGTCACACACCTCGATGCAACGTGATGTATGCCTTGGATCGGATACTACAAATTCTGATCAGCACATGTTGCGGATTGGCCGTCGCCGAGGCGCCGAATGAAAGGTCCGAGCGTGCGAGACAAATAACAAGTGCGTCAAGGGCGTCCGTGTTTCGTGAAGAGCACACCGTCTGAGACGAGGGCAGCTTCGTTAATAGTGTGCCCGTCTTCAGATGTACTAGCGGGTCCTCATAAAAAGCCCCACGATGGCCACAAGGTGCTGCACGAGGCCCCAAACACCTCCCCATGCGCCAGCAGTTCTGGTACAGTCACCTGTTGCAAGGGTCGCTCTTTTCGGTTTCTGCGAGTAAGCTTCATGTGCAACTTTATTGGAACCGAGACGTCGGATGGCCAGTACTTGCGGTTTAGATGCAGTGCGAGTGGGAGGCGGGTGGAAGAGGTTGTTTCACCAGCGTTGCTGTATTGTTTTCAATTTGATGTGCTGTACTACATCTTCCTTCACTTTCTTTCTCTTCCCCCTCCTTGTCCATCTCATACATGGCCGGATTTATACGTGTGGCCGTTTGGGTCACGAGGATATCACACAACCTTGTGGACAACCTTGTGGACCACATTCTCGGGGTTACGATCCGTGCGTAGGCGGCTTTTGGCAGTTGGGCCTGGTGCTGTTCGTGACAGCTCAGCGTGGTTGTCGATCGCTGGTTTCTTGCGCCGAGAAGAGGCATGTATTGCATCAAAAAGCTTGCACCGCAGTGTTAGCACCGCATGGCTTGCACTTCACACAATGCACCACTCACAGCATGCATCACATAGCTTGCAACGCACAGTTTGCATCGCATATAGCATATAGTGTACCATGTAGCTCGCATCACGTATAGCGCACCACATCTATTTTACCACATGGGCTGCACCACATGGATCGCACCACGTAGCTGGCACGCTTTCACCACATAGAGCGCGCCACATGTTCTACTCGAGATGGATTGCACCACATGGCTTGCGCCGAACAGATTGCAACACGTCATAGGTTACACCACACATGCTCCGCCACACAGAGGTGCACCACCCAGGTTTTTGCACCACGGGTATATGATACGCATCTGGCGTGCCATCGCACGCGGTTCTGGGGCCCGCGCGGGCAGAACGTGTGCTGCTCCAGTCACTGGATGGGTCTTCCAGGGGTGCTGCCCGGTGCCCAGCCCAGCTGGGTGGGGGAGGAGGAGGAGGAGGAGGAGGAGGAGGAGGAGGAGGAGGAGGAGGAGGAGAAGGGGGAGGAGGAGGAGGGGAGGAGGAGGAGGGGAGGAGGAGGAGGAGGAGGAGGAGGAGGAGGACGACGACGACGACGAGGAGGACGAGGAGGACGAGGAGGACAAGGAGGAGGAGGAGGGAGGAGGCGGGAGGAGGCGGAGGACGAGGAGGACGAGGAGGACGAGGAGGAGGAGGAGGACGAGGAGGAGGAGGAGGACGAGGAGGAGGGGGAGGAGAGGAGGAGGAGGCGGAGGAGGAGGTGGAGGAGAAGGAGGAGGAGGAGGGGGAGGAGGAAGAGGAGGCACAGGAGGAGGGAGGGGAGGAGAGGAGGAGGAGCGAGGAGGACTGGAGGAGGACGAGGAGGAGCGAGGAGGAGGAAGGAGGAGGAGGAGGCGAGGAGGAGGAGGAGGACCAGGAGAACGGATGACGAGGAGGACATGAGAGAGAGGGAGGAGGAGGAGGAGGCGGAGGAGGAGGGAGGAGGAGGAGGCGCGGAGGAGGAGGTAGGAGGAGGAAGGAGGAGGAGGAGGAGGAGGAGGGGAGGAGGAGGAGGAGGAGGAGGAGGGGGGCGGGGCACGCGGTCTCATCATCCTCTCTCGCTCTCTCTCTCTCTGGCGGCCCGTCCCCCGGCCAGGGCGCCCCGGTCGGGCGCGCCCCCCGTGGCGCTCGGTGGGCCTCGCCTTTGGGCTCCGCTCAGGGCCCGCCCGTGGCCGCCTCGGTCGGTGGGCGCGCACGACGGCGACGACGACGACGACGACGACGACGACGACGACGACGACGACGACGACGACGACGATTGAGCACGACGATTGAGCACGACGACGGCGACGACGACGACGACGCCGCGGGGGCAGCCGCGGGGCACCTCCGGCGGTTGCTGGCTGCTGCCGATGGCACCCCCTCTGTGAGCGCCGCGCGGCCCGCCCCGGCTAGTCTCACCTCCCGCTGTTCTCTTGTCGTCTCTCTTTTCCTCTCCCTCGTGTGCTGCTTGTTAGATGTAGCTTCTGACGGCGCGCGGCCCTGCCGTTTGCGCTCGCGAACAACAAAAAGAGGACAGCCGCGGGGCTTGCACCGCACAGCTTCCGCCGCATCGGCTGCACATCATGTCTTCGCAGGCCCGGTGATTGGCACCAACACCAAGATCGGCGGCGTGCATCTACCAAGGGAAGAGGATCCCGATCTCGGCGGTGGCGGTCAGATTCTGGCTTCCCTGGCTTCCAATGCGACTTAAATATTACTCCACCAGCACCAACATCGAGGATCATCTTCCCCCTGAGGAGGCAACCCCCTTGCGTTGGTGTTGGTGCCAATTTCCAGGTCTCCAACAGCTCACCGCCCACCAAACCACCCCAACCCAACCCGAAGGCCCCGATATGCCCTCCATTTCCAGCGGGGGGCGGGGCCCGGGAACTTCGAAAAAACGCACACATGAAGCCCGTACCCCCCCAACCCGAAATTCGGGTCTTCGGGTTGGGTTGGGGTGGTCTGGTTGGTAGTCAATCTCGCGCACCGCAGCGTTTGCACCACACGGTTCGCATCACACGGCCTGCATCACGCAGCTTTCGCCACATAGTTTTCATTGCATAGGTTGCATCACCCAGCTTGCACCACGCCGCGTAGCTAGCATCACATTCTAGTAGCACACGGAGCACCACGCACACTTATGTCGCATCGCATAGTTTGCAACGCATAGATTGAACACCAAAGATGGACTAGCCGACTCTTCGGGGCACACGCTGGCTAGCACTGATGTGAGAGAGCGCGTTTCACGGGGGCTTGGGTGCGAAAGCGTGACCCGACACGTCGAACACCAAGGGGACACTCCCCAACATCCCCAGATCCCAATGACCCTGACCCCCCCCCTTGATTTCTCCCTCACGCAGAAGCCCTGCGCCCCCCCCACAACTCTCCCTTGGACGCAAGGGCGCAGGTCAACCCCCCTCCCCCCCGCCAGTCGCGCAAGGGGGAGGGGGTTCAGACCCCCCAGCGCCGGCAAATGACGACGACGACGACGGCGACGACGACGACGGCGACGACGACTGAGCACGACGACGACTGAACACGACTGAGCACGACGACGACGACGACGACGACGACGACGACGACGACGACGACGACGACGACGACGACGACGACGACGACGACGACGATTGAGCACGACGACGACGACGACGACAACGACGACGACGACGATGACGACGACGACGACAGCAGCGGGCGGGCGGGCGGGACACTTCGTCGACGCCGTCGTCGCGGGCGCGTGTCGGGCGAGCGGGCGGGCGAGACGCGTCGTCGTCGTGAGCAGCCTGGCCCGGCGGGCGGGCGGGCGGGACGCGTCGTCGCCCTCCTCGTCCTCCTCGTTCGCCGGTGCGGGGGGGGGCAAGGGCCGGCCCCCGCCTGAAAAGGGCGGGGGAGCGAGACCTGGAGGCCTCTGGACGTCCGGGATGTCTTGTTTTTTGGGGGGGGCGCGTCGGGGAAGGTTCTTGCTAGGGGATGTTTTTGGTGGGGGGATGTTTTTTGGGGGGTGGATGTTTGGGATGTTTCGGCACCGCCTGCACCCCGCGCCCTCCGGCCGCCTGAGGCCCCGCCCGCCCGCGCCCTGTCTCCCCAATTAGTGTTTTGCGCGGCCCGCCTAGCTCTTAACTGGAAGAGGCTCGCTCTCGACCCGCAGACCAAAAATGTTTGGGATGTTTTTGTTGGGGATGTGTTTGTGGGAGGGGCGTTTTGTTGGGGATGTGTTCTTTGGGGGGGGTGCTTTTTTGAGGGGGGTTGGACCACCCCTCCCCGTCGTGGTGGTTGGCGGCGGAGGTGCCCCAGCTCCCGGACGTCCCGGATTTTTCTGGGCGTCGTAGTTTACCCAACTTGAAGTTCCCCCCCCCCCCTCCAAGCGACCACCTAACACGTCCTTCCACTGATTTTGATTGTTTTTCGGTCGTCAGAGCGGCCCAGACGGCCAGGGACGACGCTGACATCGCACCAAAACGATCCGAAAGGCGCTGAAGACAGGCCCATTTTCGACCCAAGAGATGCCAACGGCCCTCCGTTACCATTTCGGCTCACGTGAGCAAGTGTATGTCAAGACGTGCTCGAGCACCCAGGACGCGCTGCTGCATTCGCTGTGGCAGCATGCGGTTCAGGCAATTCTCTGTGCGAGGCGTTCATCGCTGCTGCCCTGATTTTTGTCGCCCCTCCTCCTCCTCCTCCTCCTCCTCCTCCTCCTCCTCCTCCGCCGTCTTGCAGCCCGAGTTTCGGGAGAACGTTTTCGCAGACGAGATGCTGCGGCAAGCGGATCCGACGCCGGCTCCGACGGCTCGTGCGGTGAGAAGGCTCCGGCTCCAGCCGGTGGGCAGCGCCGCGCTCGCGCGAGCGACGGCCGCTCGCAGGTCTGCTTTGCAGGTCGGTTACCTCAAGACGTGTCCGTATTCGCAGCACCGCAGTGCTTGTCAAGCGTGTTGGAGGGTGCCATCAGCAACTTCGACGTTTCCGCCGACACGGCACCAAGCCAAGGATGCACGACGGGTGCTCGACGATGCCGCCAAGTCCGTGCAGAAGCAGGGTGCTGGCGGCGGCAGATCGTCTGCCGAACTCCATCTGCGAGCCACTCGTGGGAGAGCAGCGTGTCACTCGAGCAGGCCCTGCTGGTGCAGGAAGGCCCAGTGTACGGCTAATTGTTGAAGCCGTAGCGACCTTGGCTCAAGCCAGCGTCAGTTCGAACCTCAACTACAGCCTCAGGAATATTTCTCCTAACGCCTCGGAAGACACATGCATGCTACTGCGCCCCAATCACATGCACGCTGTGGCGCCCCAGCTCCCCCGCACCCCCCCACCCACTCACCCACCCACACCCACACCCACACTCACACCCACATGCACACACACACACACACGAACCCACACCCACACCCACACCTACACCCACACACCAACACCCACACACCCACATCCTTGTTCCTTATTATTATATACCCCCACCTACCTCGTATTCCGGCCGATAGCGACCCAATCCG